TGAAGATGAAGTTTGTAATAGCTTGACATTGTGAAGATGAAGTTTGTAATAGCTTGACATTGTGAAGATGTAGTTTGTAATAGCTTGACATTGTGAAGATGTAGTTTGTAATAGCTTGACATTGTGAAGATGAAGTTGGTAATAGCTTGACATTGTGAAGATGAAGTTGGTAATAGCTTGACATTGTGAAGATGAAGTTGGTAATAGCTTGACATTGTGAAGATGAAGTTTGTAATAGCTTGACATTGTGAAGATGAAGTTTGTAATAGCTTGACATTGTGAAGATGTAGTTTGTAATAGCCTGACATTGTGAAGATGAAGTTGGTAATAGATTGACATTGTGAAGATGAAGTTGGTAATAGCTTGACATTGTGAAGATGAAGTTGGTAATAGCTTGACATTGTGAAGATGAAGTTTGTAATAGCTTGAAATTGAGAAGATGTAGTTTGTAATAGCTTGACATTGTGAAGATGAAGTTGGTAATAGCTTGACATTGTGAAGATGAAGTTGGTAATAGCTTGACATTGTGAAGATGAAGTTGGTAATAGCTTGACATTGTGAAGATGTAGTTTGTAATAGCTTGACATTGTGAAGATGAAGTTGGTAATAGCTTGACATTGTGAAGATGAAGTATGTAATAGCTTGACATTGTGAAGATGAAGTTGGTAATAGCTTGACATTATGAAGATGAAGTTGGTAATAGCTTGACATTGTGAAGATGATAGTAGAGGTACCTAGCGATTTCAATGATTTCAATGTTATTTATTTCTGTTATTAAGTGAGATTTTTGGCGAGGTGAGCAATCATGTAGGTCAAGAAAACTCGATAAGAGATAATAACTAAATGATTCAATATATTTACAGACTGTTGTCCTAGATATGTATTTTATAGATTTATTGCCTAGGCTACCGATTTTAAAGAGACGGTCTGATGTTTTGAGTTGGTCAGGAAAACTACTGTACTCTTCCAAACCAATAAACGCCAAACTATAGAGAGGTATGACTCCTACTTATTCAAAACTTTTAATAAAAATATATCAAATCGTTGTAAGGCTCAATTCACGAGTAGTAAGGCCTTCACTTCGTTTTGGATTTCACTTTTAGCCAAATTCAGGTTGATCCAGTAGATACATAAATATAAAAAGCATATTTTAGAAATATTTTCATCATTAACAAAATTTTGACTAATAAAAATTGTGCATACTGTCTGTCCCTTTAACATATGAACTAGTCAAAAGTCCGCCAACTATCTACGGAAAGTGAAAACTAAAATGCAACACCAGAAAATCTCTACAAGCCATTGGCCGTATCAGAACTGCTCGTCTAGAGAGATTCGAACCCACAGCATCATCTCTACTAGCAGACGACAAACAATCACAGATGTCACCGTCGGCAATATCGACCAGAAGTAAACAATGCTGATGTAACAGTCACTAATGAATACATACGAGTTCACTATCAACATCTTCACAATGTCAAGCTATAACGAACTTCGTCTTACACCTTGACTAATCTTCACAATGTTAAGCTATTACAAACTTCATCTTTACAATGTCAAGCTATTACAAACTTCTTCTTCACAATGTCAAGCTAATACAAACTCCATCTTCACAATAGCAGTGAAGATGTAGTTTGTAATAGCTTGACATTGTGAAGATGAAGTTTGTAATAACTTGACATTGTGAAGATGGAGTTTGTAATAGCTTGACATTGTGAAGATGAAGTTTGTAATAGCTAGACATTGTGAAGATGAAGTTGGTAATAACTTGACATTGTGAAGATGAAGTTTGTAATAGCTTGACATTGTGAAGATGAAGTTAGTAATAGCTTGACATTGTGAAGATGAAGTTGGCAATAGCTTGACATTGTGAAGATGAAGTTTGTAATAGCTTGACATTGTGAAGATGAAGTTTGTAATAGCTTGACATTGTTAAGATGAAGTTTGTAATAGCTTGACATTATGAAGATGAAGTTTGTAACATCCTGACATTGTGAAGATGAAGTTGGTAATAGCTTGACATTGTGAAGATGAAGTTTGTAGTAGCTTGACATTGTGAAAATGAAGTTTGTAATAGCTTGACATTGTGAAAATAAAGTTTGTAATAGCTTGACATTGTGAAGATGTAGTTTGTAATTGACATAGTGAAGATGTAGTTTGTAATTGACATAGTGAAGATATATTAACAGCTGCGCTGTTTATTTGTCTAAAAAGGTCATTGACCGACTTGTAGACTTGCAGTAAAGATCAATGCTACGAAGAAATATGGAGTCCTACACTGTTCAAAGAGGGCTGGCAGTCGCGGACGGCGGCGAACTATCTGAGATTGCCCGTTATGAAATTTTTTGTCCGAAAAACTTGCTTTCGGGGCTCCGAGGGGAGCTGCTGCCCTCTCTGAGTTCTATTGTACGTAACGTTTCGACAAATTACATTGTCATCTTCAGGCGAAATGAAGAGGTTTTCTTCAAGAAGGTACATAAGTATAATTATAATTCTATTTATTTATACTTAGCCTCAAAACTTCCAGACGACCCTCGTATATAATCGTCAATAAGATGTATTCAGGGCATATTGAACTAGTTAATATACGTATATTGTATATTATGTATTTATAATACGAGACCTATATTGATATATTTAATATAGACAATGGTGATGTAACCACGATTAGTACTGTAGTATATTATCATTTACATGTCGTTATCCTATAGCACCAGCTCTAATTGCTCATGATGTAACAGTGGCGGCTCTTTT